GCATACAGAGCAACTTCTTAATTTCCTACAAACCTCCTGAATCTGATTCACATCTCAGCAGTAATCCATCATACTGAGAAATTGCTTTTTGTGCTGATTTAACGTTTGATAACAGATCAGAAGCCTGAACTTTATGACAGTATAATGTAAGAGTGGCAATGTAAGATTGCAACATTTCTTTAGGAAAACATCATTCCCCCTTTCTGATGAGATAGACCAGTTGTACAATTTTTTTCAGAAACATTTCCAAAGAAATTTAATAAAACGCTAAGATAAAAGAACATTTGAGTTTTATAATTGCATTGTGATTCAATTCAGTAACTTTAAACACTCAACAGAGATATATATTTGCCACAGTGGGAACTTATTCTAATTCTAAAGAAAAAAATGAATTACATAGGTTTTCCTAGAAGACTGAATTAGTAAATCCAGGCAGCAAATAAATTTCTGTTCCTTGTCAGAATAACAGTGTGGTTAGAGTAACTACATGGAATCAATCAGATCAGCACGATATGGAGAAACCAGCAAACTCTGCAACCCAAGTGACTTCAATGAGTCAATGCAATAACAGTCAGTAAGGGAAGGGTGGAAAATTGTTACCAAAGCACAGTTACTCCTTGCCCCTGATTTGTCTGCTTATTTTTTTTTTACATAAACTGTTTTCCCAGATCTGCACACTATAATAAAAAGACATTTTCGCATGGCAGCCCACACGATCTCTGAAGATTTCCTAGCAAACCGTAGTCTTAAAAACGGTACCCTTTCCTTAATTTGGAGTAGCAGTGGACAGAATCGAAATGACCATTATTTGGCTTTTGCTAAAAGCTTTACATATTCCTATGGAAGTAGAAAAGCAGGGAACTTTCCCATCTTGAGACTGTATCAGACTGTAAGCCCATTGTTTTAAGCAGAGAGTAACGATATATGCAAGTGAGAATCTGCAAACTCAAAAAGTCAAAGTGAAAGATCAAATTCCAAAGAAAACCCTTTGGTTTGTTTCTCGTTTCTCAGAAACTATCATGCTACCCTAAAAATGTCACAAAGGGTTAGAATTACATGGAGAACTGGTATTTTATTAACTGTCTGGAAAAAAAATATATTAGTTTCTCAGTGTTTTTTAATCTTTAAAAACAGCAAAATCTTAAAATATGTTGTTGAAACAAAATAGCCCAACTTTCAAATTAGTAAATTGTTTTCAGGTGAAATTATTTTGGATGTGTTATTAATAGTTTTCATTGACTTCATGCTTATCTATAAACTTGGCAAAAAATCTGTTCACTGAGGGAGTTTGTCCACCCTATAGCTAAATACAGAGCAGTTTATCCTCCTCCCCAGGATTTACAACATGCATGTGCATGTGTGTGCTGGAAATGACAGCAAAAGTCGAGTGGCAAAATATGTAGCTGCCTTTCATGTGTTGAGCGACCTTAGGTTGCACTGTTATAATTTCCCCCTGACTTAAACCCAAAAATGGCGTTTATATATGCTTCAATATTTTCAGAAAGAACACAAAGCTTTACTGCAGACCCTGAGTGAAAGCACCAAAACTGCAGCTGTCTGGTAAGTACTGGGGAGTATTTTCAAAACAGACAAAAATGGTGTCCTAATCATAGTTCAACAGACTGCCTATTTTTAAAATAGACTGCTTACTGAACATACTTTGGGCTATAAAGCCGAAAAATAAGAACCTAGTATTACTGTCAAAAGTGCTGTGAAGGGCCAACTGCCGCTGCAAGTAGTTTTTATATGCATCCTATCTGTTCTCTTCACATTTATTTTTTAACTTAGCCTTTAGGATCTGTAAAGGGTTTTTTTCCTATTTTTGGTTGGTTATTTTTTTGAATGTGGGAGCTGGGTTTTTGCCTGCACCGTCACCACAAAAGACGTAGCTTCTTTCTGCTTGCTATTTTAGCTTAAATTAGTAGTAGCTGAAGAGTACTCCTTGGTTGTGCTGGACAATGTCACAGATACTTGAGATGTCTATTACGGGCTACTAATTGAAGAGGTGTGCTGTGGAACCCTTCACAAAAATGCTCCTATTCTGAAACATCCAGCGGTCTTCAAAACACATTAAAACATGGAATAAAAACATTCTAAGCAGCCTGATCAATTTACTACTCCCTCACAGTGCTGCTGCATTTCAGTGCTCTGCCTTTGTGATGCTGACATTCACTCATTTTCCAGTAGGGACTTGCCTTTGCTACAAGCTCTGGGAAAGGGATGTCAGCACCAGGCGTGGTTGATTTGGCAAAGGAAGTGACTCCACGGCCAACTTTTTGCAAAAACTCTGCCTGTTTTCCGTTGGAAGTTTCCCACAGTTGCTCCCACTCTCGTAAGCTGGTACAAACAAGTGGACTGCTGGAAAAGACAAAGTGACTGACAACTCCTGGCATTTTAATGCCTGCCATTAGTTAAGAATAGCTCTGTATTTCTTGCACATTGGCATAATCGAGAAAGGACATTGCTACTAATATGATGGCATGGCTGCTAGCTGGAGAAATGCATATTGCCTCAGATCTGCCGAAGAAGCAATCATGCTGCTTCACAAAAGTGAAATCTCACTTGCAACCTTTATGGCATCTCCTCATTTAGATGCCTGATTTTACAAATGTAATTTTTTTTTTATTTGGTATTTTTGTCTCCTTTTTGCTCTTCTTGCAACATTTTAAAAACAATAATGGATTAAATAACTGAAAACGAAATTCTATCCTATGGTATCATACTGACACCTATATAATTCTTCTGCAAGCACAGAAACCTAGCATTTGCACAGGCCCCTGTCGCTTGAGCAAAGGAGTAATTATATGTACTGACAAGTATAGAAAGGTCTGAGAACCTCTAGGCTCTGGAAAGTAGTGAAGATCCTTCCCTCTCCCTCCCGCAAGCCTGATCCTCTGCCCGATCGCTCCTGCCTGACCTGCCCTTGATCTGTCCTCCCTCCCTCTGGGCTTCTCATCCTCATCTCACCCAACCAGCCCTGGCTTCCGCTTCAGTGCTTGAGGAGAGACGTTTCTTATCTCTGCCTGAGATGCTTGCTTGGCTTCCCCAATTCTTGTGTCACCTCTCCACTGACCCCTACTCAACTTTTTGTCCTCATGTCCTTGTCCACTCAGGCCATGACCTCCTGCACCTTGTTTTTTCCTGCTTCCATCTCTCTTCCCCTCTTCAATCCTTGCTCTTTCTGCATCAGAATGCCTTGCCTGGGGATCACAGCTTCCAAACCCAATGCACAGCTGCATGTGCAGGAAATGCCCCATTTCAGCGCTGCGTTTCTGAGACACACTCAGGATGGGTGTCATATTTTAGCAGTGAAGACATAGCTTTGCTTCGTACAACTACTTGTGCTAGTGGTGACATGCTGTCCTGGTTTGAGCAACACGGGAGTAATTTCTCTTCTAATGCTTGGGAAAACTGTACTTTTAGAAGACTGTAGTGTCTGAATTTGTAAAAACATTTATTTTATAGCCAGCTATGGTATTTGGGTTTCAAGGTCTCAATGTTATTGAGCTTAGCCAGGTGCAGGGATGCGAAGCGAGACCTGGACACTTGACCCAAGCTGGTCAACAGGATTATTTCATACCATGAACGTCACATTCAATATAAATTAGAAAACTTGCTGCATAGTTCTCTCTCTCCCTCGACAGTGGTGGTGCAGAGAACTTCTTCCCCTGGTGCTGGACCCCTAAGCCCTTCCCTTCCTCTTGAAGCTCTTGCAGCATCTGACATTGGCTGTCCACTGCCAGTTCACAGTTTCCTGCTGATAGAATAGGCTGAGTATAATTCCTGTATATTTTATATTGGTATCAGAATCAATATTGGCTCTTTAGTGTTATTAACGTTAATCCTTTAGTCTTAGCCTGGTGAATCTATTTAAATTTCAACACTTGTGTTTCTTTGTTTTTCCCTGACTCCCCTTCCTGGTCTGGGAGAAGTCATCTAGTCGTTTGGGAGTTGTTTGTGTCGGGCTACACCAGAAGATTAGGGTGCTGAAAACATACCCTGAGACTAAAATTGCCGTGGGTGTCACAAATTGAAACTGCCCAGCAGCACAACGCTGTGGACTTGGGTTTTTATAACCGTGGCTTGTGCAGGATCGTTACAGATACAATGATGATGACGACATCCCTGTATTTTGGACCGTCGCCAAAAAAAGACAAAAAAAACCCAAACCCCCATATATCTACCCATCGCTTACATTGGGACAATGGTAATATCATAGAATCATAGAATTGTCCAGGCCGGAAGGGACCTCCAAAGGCCATCTAGTCCGACCTCCACGCTGTCAGCAGGGACACCCCCAAATAGACCAGGTTCACCAGGGCATCGTCGGGCCTCACTTGAGTATCTCCAGGGATGGGGCCTCAACCACCTCCCTGGGCAACCTGTTCTAACCCTCACAGTAAAGAACTTGTTCCTTATCTCCAACCTAAATCTGCTCTTCTCCAGTTTAAAGCCTTTGCCCCTTGTCCTGTCACTACAGGCCTCTGTAAACAGGCTCTCCCCAGCCTTCCTGTAGGCCCCCCTCAGGTACTATGAGGTCTCCCTGGAGCCTCCTCTTCTCCAGGCTGAACAACCCCAGCTCCCTCAGCCTGTCCTCGTTAGCAGAGGTGCTCCAACCCCCTGACCATCCCCGTGGCCCTCCTCAGGACCTGCTCCATCAGGTCCACATCCTTTTTCTATTGACCTGCACACAGCACCGAGCCCTACAGCAAATAATTCAAAAGTGGAGGCCTTAAGGAGGCCTTAATTTCGCCGTAAGGGCTTCCTTGGCCTGGGGGAGACGGAGGGAGGGAGGGACTGCACCTCCAACCATCACACACTTATCTAATTTAATACAGTCACGCGTGACATGGTTTGGCACTGAAGGGGATGACGGGAATGAGCCCACAGACGGACCGGGGCGGGGCGTGGCACGGTCCGTTCCGCCCCCCCCCGCGTCTGTCCGTGGGCTGGCGGCGGCGCGTCCCCGCTCCACGCCCCCCTCGAGTGGGCGCGTCCCGGCGGCCACGTTGACAGGGCGGGAGCGGTGCCGCGCCCGCGTAGCGTAGCGTAGCGCGACGTAGCGTAGTGCAGCGCACCGGGCGGGCTGGTAGTCTGACTGGCCGTGGGGGTCCGGGTTCCCCCCCCTCCCCCGCAAAAATGTCTTCGCCTCCCAAAGAGAAAGCAGAGACGCGGGCCGGACACCCTCCTGCTGGTACGGCCGCCGGTTTCCGTCTCTCCGCTTCTTTCTCACCCTGTGGACGTGGCGTGGCGGGGGGGGGCTGCCAGTGAGGGGGGAGGCCGAGCGCCTCCACTGGGGGAGGCGAAGCCCCCCGGTCGGTGGTGGCGGGGCGCTGCCTGCGGCTGAGGAGGGCGATGGGCGGCCTCCGGCGGGTCCCGCCGCCACTGCCCCGGGAGAAGGGGTTGCGCGCCCCGGGTGGGTTTCCCCCGCGCTCCTTTTGCTCCAACCGGCGCCTGGTCCCGCTTTCTGGCACCGGCCTGCTCTCCCTCTGCTATCCCGCCCTCGGGTAACGGGGGCCGGTGCTCCCCGCCTCCCTCTTCCCCGCTGGCAGGCGCAGCTCTCTGTGGGGTTTGTGCCCTTCGGCATCTCCAGCCCCCTCTCTCCCGGGAGATGGGCAGCGTTGTCTTCGTCGGCCCTTGTCCCCCCCATCCTCGGAAAGGCGGGTAGGGGCTTGCGAAGCCACCGCCCGAGGGGGGCCTGGTGAGGGTGGGAAGGGAGAAGGGGTGGTTTGGGCCACCCGGCAGCCTGCCTGGCCGCTGGCAGCGCCCTGCCGAGCGGGGAGACTGGGAGTTAATGGTCCTCCCCGCATCCATTTTGCCTGTGGGCCTTACGGTGCCAGAGCAGGCTGCGGGCCCCCGGCTTTAATGCCAGAGGCTGGCAAGGTAGTTCCCTGCTCGCCAGCTGCCCAGGGAAGGAGCTCCAACACCTCTACCCTGCTCCTGGTTGGGGTCAGAGCCGTGTCCCACCTTCGGTCAGGCACTGAGCTGCCCCCCACCATAGGCAGCAGCTCCTCTCGCTGCTGGGGTTCGGCTGCTCGCAGTGTCCCAACTTGTCTTCATGTGCCGTTAGTTTTTCTTCTTCTTTATTACAGTTTTCTTTAAAAAAAGGGAACTTCGGTCCCTGCGCCAGCGACTTCTCACATGTCTTCTACTGTTTCTTGGTGGAATAGTTTTTTTTTGTTTCAGTCAAAAGATGCTGAAATTCTTAATTCACAGGGTGGTTAGTTTCATATTCAGATCACCCGATGAGATTTTAATCTAAATTTGAAAACAGGTTTTGAACCCTAATTGAATTCTGCTCCTTTTGTAATAAGGACCTGAAATTCCTTTAAATAGATAATAGAAGTGAGAAGTAATGGGTTTGCTTTGCACGGCAAATACAGTTCTGCAGGACAGTTAAGCTGAGCAGAGTCCCAGTTCTGCAGCCTCCCTTGTCATGGCATCAGCTCTTACTGGTGAGCTGGTTCAGGGAACCAAACCAAAGCCCCCTTCCCGAAGTCGATAGCTTTTGCTGCTGTAGCTCCTTGAGCTGGCTCACCTTCGGGCCAGGTAAACGTCAGTTTCAGTGTGAAGAGATGGTTAAGACCTTAGGTTGGTTTAGCTGTGTTTTCCTGAGCCACCATCGATGGAAAGGGAATAATGGGATAAATGGGGGATATTTTTATTTAGACGCTTTGCAACTGTATTTTCTGGTGGTGTTGCATGTTTTAGGGTTTTGCTTCAAAATCTGCCTCTTGAAAAAGGTGGAATTTATTTTTAAACACCTGAAGTGTTTTGTTTTTTTTAAACACCTCCATAGGCCATATGAGAAACTAGCGATGCACAGTGCAAACATATAACTGGAGTACAGTGCATGTTTTCCTTGCTGAGTATTTCAGTATTATTTTTTTCATTTGTAAAACATACATCCACATATGAACTGAAGAACTTTTTCAGCCATGTGCCTTATAAGATCGTTAGCATCCCTGAGGGTTTTTTTAATGGGTATGCACCAATTCAGCTTTGGAAGGAAGGAAGGAAGGCGATCACCAAGTCATCTTTATGTCATCTCTGGAAGAAGGTGGTTCTGAGCTGTTTGGCAGAGGAAAGTGGCCCTGTGGTCTTTTAACACTTGGAAAAATCCACAGTGACTGTGCTGGCTATAGGGGCTGAAGCTTGGTTTTAATCCTTTATCTCAAGCTGGTTTAGATCCTTGAATAATAATATAATGCAACAGGGCAGTTTGCAAACAAGTTTTAATAAAATGAAAGTAAAAAATTCCTAAAAAAAAAAATAATAATAAAAGATGACTACATAAATAGAGTAAAATAAATTGTGGTTAACCCTAACCCTAATTGAATAAATTGTGTTCATGACTAGCAAGGCAAAGATGTGAAGAGGGCATCTTTTTTGACTAATGGAGCTTCAAAGCTCTGGGTTTGCTGTGTACAGTTGTATAAATACCTACCTGTAATTGCAGATGTATCCTACCCTGCTGAGTATGACTTAGAGATGTAAAAGTTAGGAAGGATATGGATCATCAAATTAAAGCCGAATTGACAAATGCATTGTTTCTCATGCACACTGTTAGCCCTCGCTTACTGCCTGCATGCAGCCTGTTAGCCTCCTCTCTGCATTGATCTTTCACATGGGGTGGGGAAAAAAAGGCAAGAAAAGCACTTGAAAAGACAACAGATAATGAAATGGAAGGAAACCTCAAGACCTGGTTTAGCTGTGTTTTCCTGAGCCACCATCGATGGAACGGGAATAATGGGATAACTGGGGGATATTTTTATTTAGACGCTTTGCAACTGTATTTTCTGGTGGTGTTGCATGTTTTAGGGTTTTGCTTCAAAATCTGCCTCTTGAAAAAGGTGGAATTTATTTTTAAACACCTGAAGTGTTTTGTTTTTTTTAAACACCTCCATAGGCCATATGAGAAACTAGCGATGCACAGTGCAAACATATAACTGGAGTACAGTGCATGTTTTCCTTGCTGAGTATTTCAGTATTATTTTTTTCATTTGTAAAACATACATCCACATATGAACTGAAGAACTTTTTCAGCCATGTGCCTTATAAGATCGTTAGCATCCCTGAGGGTTTTTTTAATGGGTATGCACCAATTCAGCTTTGGAAGGAAGGAAGGAAGGCGATCACCAAGTCATCTTTATGTCATCTCTGGAAGAAGGTGGTTCTGAGCTGTTTGGCAGAGGAAAGTGGCCCTGTGGTCTTTTAACACTTGGAAAAATCCACAGTGACTGTGCTGGCTATAGGGGCTGAAGCTTGGTTTTAATCCTTTATCTCAAGCTGGTTTAGATCCTTGAATAATAATATAATGCAACAGGGCAGTTTGCAAACAAGTTTTAATAAAATGAAAGTAAAAAATTCCTAAAAAAAAAATAATAATAAAAGATGACTACATAAATAGAGTAAAATAAATTGTGGTTAACCCTAACCCTAATTGAATAAATTGTGTTCATGACTAGCAAGGCAAAGATGTGAAGAGGGCATCTTTTTTGACTAATGGAGCTTCAAAGCTCTGGGTTTGCTGTGTACAGTTGTATAAATACCTACCTGTAATTGCAGATGTATCCTACCCTGCTGAGTATGACTTAGAGATGTAAAAGTTAGGAAGGATATGGATCATCAAATTAAAGCCGAATTGACAAATGCATTGTTTCTCATGCACACTGTTAGCCCTCGCTTACTGCCTGCATGCAGCCTGTTAGCCTCCTCTCTGCATTGATCTTTCACATGGGGTGGGGAAAAAAAGGCAAGAAAAGCACTTGAAAAGACAACAGATAATGAAATGGAAGGAAACCTCAAGACCTCAGGCTGGTAACAGGGTGCACGAAGCAACTTTGAACTCCTTTCTGAAACATAGGAGGGCTTAACTTCAGCTTTATTAAATATCTGTCAGTGAGATCAATGCATCGATAATCCATTGCTGAGTCAGTTTGTACATCTTGCAGCCTTCTAAAGAGGGTTCCATAATTATGCTTTTAGCTGTTCATTTCTTATTGTAGATACTGTGGAGGAATAAGGCGAGGTGATTGTGTTAATAGTTTATTTATGAAGCTTTACAGTAGGTTTGTGAAAATAGTTATGTGATTTTTCCTACATTAAAAAAATACAGCTCTGGGCCCAGGTTTCTGTGAAACAAAGATATATAATAACTCTTACTTCCATTCTTGTTTTGTCAGACACTAATGTATGCTTCCCTTAAGCTTGCAGAATGGCTTATTTTGTGTTTCCCTCAGTCCTGGCTCTTCGTATATCTTATCAATATAATGGAATCCGTTATTATAGAGTACATAAGAAATAAATTTTGTGTTAATATTTAATACTGTGCTCAAGGAAAAAGGGGAGCCGCTAAAGCTCCTGGTTAGAGCAGCTGCAGTGCTTCTCTAGGTACTTGGTGTGGCTGTGACAACGGTGGGATTTCTTTCAGAATTCAGTCTTGGAAACTGGGCGCAGTCTGAAAAAAGCATGGCAGTGAGGGGGGGGTGGAAAAAGGGTAAACAGACTGAGAGTGTTTACTGACTCCACGTCATCTTGAGCAGTAATTGATTAACACAGTTGTTTAATACATTTCCAAAAGGAGTAGTCATACACTTAAGAGGAACACAGGCTGGCATTCACAGCACAAACAAGACAGTCCCGCCTGCCTCTTGGGGAGGAGAACGTGGCAGATAATAAATTAAAATCCCAAACTCAGCTCTTATTCAGCAGTGAGGCAAACACACTTGTGCTGCTGCTCTTCTCAGAGCGTTCTGGCAGATGATCCCCTCCCCATTTCACGCTTCAGAGGCTGGTGGCCACTGGGCCATCACCACTACGGGCAGCTGCTCCCAGTCCCCTCCTGCCTTAGCACAGGTGCCACCAGACCTCTCCTGGGCAACTGCAGCCCGAGGTCCCTCTTCTGCACAGGAAGGGCTTTCTTCCTAATCCCAACACTGTGTCATTGACACTGTCCTCTTCTGGGCACCGATTTATGGCAGCATTCTGGAAGGTGGTTTATCAGTTGTTTAAATCCTCTCTCTGTTCTGTGCAGGATTTACTATAAGGAAATCTGAGCCCTTGCTCTTTTAAGAATGACTTTTAAGTGACAAAATCACCATGGTAAGCATCTGTCAAATTATGTAGTAAATGCTAGGCAAGTAAGTAAATGAATCCTCCTAAATCCCAGAAAAATCTCACAAATGGAGTGGGTTTTTCTTTAGCTTGGTGGAGGTAATCATCATTTCTTCTCTCTGTCTAACCCTGAGGTAGTGTAGCTCAGTTGAAACCTTTTCAAAAGGAAGGTGAATGATGTTCCAAGGGTATTTCACTGCTTAAGCTAAATCTCTTGAAACTATATTGCATATGAGCATGCTGCGTCATGGGTGGCAGAGATGTACATCAGCTATATGTTTAGGATGCTGGTCTAATTATTTCACTTTTGGTCTTAGAAATACATGTCATTACTGCAGTTGTTTGCTGGATTCTTCTTTTGGTTTCCTACATCTGCACAGTAACCCTGGGTTACTAAAGATTATTCAATTATGCACCAGTGTTCTTTTAGCTGTCTATACTATGCCTGTTGATATTAGTGCAAAAAATCTGATTTTTAAAATTATTAAGTTACTTCATTGGTCAGTCACTATTATACCTTTTAATTGTCTGGTTATTTATTTTTTAATCCCTGCTAGTTCTACATACAAACAAATCTTAACGTGTTAGCTGCATACCTTTGCCAGTGACAGATGAAGAGAAAACAAGTGGCTGGTGGCCTGGTGATATATGAGAGGGGAGAGATTTTAGACCACCTAAATTAGCACTAAATTTTCGAGTATTGTTTTCTTTATTTTTCTGTTAGATGTTGAAGAATGTGGAAGCGTGTGTGCATTGCTCAGAAGTGCTGTTTGTAACCTGGCAGATGTTGCTGTGGAGACAGCATCTTCCACAAGAAGTAATTTGAAAGGGAACTAATAAGATTTGATTGTGCAATGATGTTAAATTCATAAATTAATGTAAATAAAACATACCAATCACTTTGATTAACTGAGATGCTAGAAGACGACAGCACTTGATAGAACTCAGAATGTTTGCTTTTGCAAACAAACTTAAATTTCTAAGGAGTTTGCATCAAGAAAAATGAATACGAATTTTAATTTTTGTTTTTTTTCTTTGTTCCCTAAACCTTTCTGTCTTTCTATGTCCTACACTGGTGAAACACTTCTCACGAATGTCAGTATTGTAAGTTTTGTGCTGAAGAGAGGGCACAAAGTGGTTAGTGTTTGGGTTTTTTTAATGTATGATAAGGGGATACAGTTTTGATAGGTTTTAAGACCTATTTCTTTGGTTTTGCCTGCTGATCGCCTCTCTAGTTAATGTTCATCATTGAATCAGAATCCAAATATCACACAAAGCTTAAAATCTATTTAAAAAATCCTGGGGCCAAAGACTTGTCACTTTCTCTTAGGTCACTTTCTCTTTATGGCTTGTCTTCACCCAGACTAATATATGCGCAGGAGTGTCCTTTCCATTGCTGTCCTGGGACCAAAACCTGTTTCGGGGATTAGCAAGGAACTGCTGTGAGGTGCCCTGGTCCTTCTGTGGCTGGGCACTCTCAGAAGCACAGCCTGTCCTGGCAAACCCCTTTGGCTCCATCTGAGGGCTGCTCTGGCACCCTGCTGGCTCCGGGCTGTGACATCTCTGTCGAGGCTGTCCACGGACTTACTGTGTCACTGACGTGTGAAACACAAACCAAACGCGTCTGTAGGTGGTTTCATTGTCTCCTGACTGCTATAGAGGTTTTCTGATGTGGTTGCTGATAGCTGTGTAACCCATCCAATTAGCTAACGAGATGCATCATCTTGTCTTGTGCTGTCCTGTAAGCGTGTACAGAGCAATGTTTGAAGCAACAACAACAACAAAAGAATTAAATAAAGAAAGGTACAATATTAAAAGATAAAGCAGACCAAGAGCAGCCTGCCTGTTGCTCTGCTTAGTAGCTGCAGTATTAGGCCTGGCATACTTTTCACTTTGGAGGGGATAAATGATGAGCCTAAGTGGATTTGCTTTCACTTCTAGTTTTGTGTTTCAAAGGGATGCTTTCATGTTTGCATAATTTCTAAAACTAAGTCATGACAAGGATTTGAAATACGCTAAATGCTTATGTTTTGCAAAACAAAAAGCTCTGTTCTAAATGTAGGTTAAGAGTCCTCCTAACCTTTGCTTTTTATTATACAGCCCATTAAGTACTTCCTTGTATAAATGCTGTTATCATAGCTGTAGCTTTTAACTTGAAATGACAAGTGAAATTCTTTATCCCTTCTTGTTTTATGGGTGTATTTAACATTCACATTTGTGGCCTTTTGCATAGTGTTATGCAAGCCATCACCTCCATTTCTTCTGACTGCTGCAAGTTTACAGGGATGGGGGAGAGTTAAAACAGAGTTGGGTTTTCTAAAATGGTATTGGAAGCAGGTGGTAAAGTGAGCTGCAAGCTCTCAGGATGAGCAAAGATGGCATGATGTGAAAGAGAATAGCAGATGCAGTCCTGAAGTTGCTCTTCCTCATGCTTGCCACTTCTAAACACTTTGGGCCCCTTTTTCAAACTGTAATTACTACTAAACTATTCTGTAAGATATTGGTGGGGGAGGGAGGACAGACTCATCCTTAAAATTTTCTTCTCTTACGCTGATTTGACTGAGGTTTGTTGTGTCTCTCTAACTTTCATTCCAGTGAAAGCTGGTGGGATGCGGATCGTACAGAAACACCCACACAATTCTGATGCCAAAGAAGAAAAAGACAAGGATGACCAAGACTGGGAAACCAGCAGGTGAGTATTTTGATTCGGTGCATGTGCTGCAGCGAATTTCCATCACCTTGAACCTTATCAGCAGTTTTATTTTCCTGGCACACCAAAGATACAGTTGTTCTTGTAGCATAAAATTGATTTAAAGTGGTAGCAAGTTATATGCTCCTTCGAGAGAACTGGGGAATTTGGGAATTTTTACTTTGCTGAGTCTCCCTTAAATGATTTTGCCAGGTAAGAGGAAGTTAGAGAAAAAAGTGCAGTTAAAGTAAGGCAACAGCCTCCTAAATCTCTGAACATCATTTCACACTGTGCAGAAATATAGAGGGAAGGCACATTTGGTCATAAGCATTACGCTGTCAATCTACATATGAGGTGTCTTGCTGTGTGCTAGGTTTGATTCCTTCTACCCTTTGGCCCTTATTCCTGTCTCTGCAAGGTATTTGACAATATGGTGATTTTTTAGAAGAAAAGTAAAAGTAAATGCTATTAGTAGTATTTGCTTTTATTTTAGGTGGGAATTTAGCAATTTTAGTGCTGGAGGATACCAAAACAAACAGTTGTTACTATAAATTAATAAAACTGCTTAAAACTGTTAGCAACTGCTGTGTAGGAATGAAAGAGGGAGGTTCAGTGGACTGTTACTGAGTTTCTGTTCATACAAGAGCCACCTGGTTTTGTACTGCTTTCCTTGGCCAGCTGTTTTTCATTGTGGCAAGACTATATTTACCTGAAATCTTTATGTACCAGCTTATTGCATGGGTTTGTCCTTGCTATTTGCTCAAGGCAAAAAAAAAAAAAAAAAAAAAAAGCCATTTTTGTGCTTTAGTAAGTTGACTGACTTATATGATGTTTATTTTACATGTAAAACAATGGTAATAAATAGGCATTGTGAACATATCGGTAAAATAACAACAAATGTGTCTATTTACTAAATCACAACTTGACTAGGAAAGGAAAAAAAAAAAAAAAAAAAAGAGAGCCATTGTTGTGCTTTAGTAAGTTGACTGACTTATATGATGTTTATTTTACATGTAAAACAATGGTAATAAATAGGCATTGTGAACATATCGGTAAAATAACAACAAATGTGTCTATTTACTAAATCACAACTTGACTAGGAAACACAATTATGAAAAGGGAAAAGTAATTTTAGTGAATATATTCAAATGAAAGGCAGGAAAACAAAACTTTATGCCATTTCTTCATTAAGCAAATTGGTCATCTTGTATTTCTGTTCAGTGGAATTTAAGTTCAGATGGAGTTTATATTGCAGTCAGGTTTTGTCCAAAGGAAGAAGTCATATCTTGTGGTTAATTTAAACCTTGCTTGGGGATACATCTTTGTATTTAAAGTCTGTTATAAACCTGCTTATTCTTGCATTTCCTTGGCATGCCAGCCTCATGGTAAGGGAATCTCATTAGGATCCAAATGAGAATACTTCTTATGGCTGTTCACAGACCTAAACCTCTGTTACAATATAGCTATCTGCTTTATTCCTTTCTTCAAACAAGGTTATGATTTTCCCCTCTCACTCAAATGGTATAGCGAAAAGTTAGAACTTAATCTTGGTATTTGTGGCTACATCCACTCTAGCACGTGGTGGCACAGCAGAAGCAGATCTGGAGGGGGAAACAGTTGATGCTGAGGACTTTGTGTTCACATTGTGTATATTTTGGAAATGACTTAGTCTGGTCTTCTGGACTGAAGGACCAATCCTAGCTGGTGGGTGTTAGGTGTTTCCTTGGACTGCATGTTCCAGTTCAGCTTTATCTGCAAGGACTCCAGGTTAGGTGCCCTGAGACCAGTCCAGAGTGCAAAACAACGCCTGGTCAACAGAATGATCAGGAGGAGGGGCGTAGTCCTGATCTTAAAATGCAGACAATTACACACTCTATATTAATATTGTAAAGCAGGTCCGGGAGCAATTTTTGTGTCTTAAAGGCAGAGAAGAAAGTTTAATGACCTCTAGAGCTACCTTGTTAACTAGGGAACAGTTAGATGTTGCACCTTAAATTCTTTTGCCTTGGCACTGGATCAGTTTATTGTCAGAATACGCTCTTTGCTTTGGTTTTCTTGTAGAGGAATTGTTATCGGTCCATATTAGGCACTTGTGCATACAATGTTACTTGAGCCTGTATATTAATACAAAAAGCATTAGTCTGAACTTTTATTTCTTTGATTTAATCCTCTTGAGAAAGAAAGGGGCAGGAGGGACATAAGGAGCATAGTTAGATGGGAACCAACATGAATTATAAAACAAAACTGTAAGTTGGTTTACAAGTCTGAAAGAAGCTGTTTCCTGGTAGAACTGTGAGGGAAAGGGCTTAATGTGCCTCATGTAGGCTCCTGTGGGAATACTTCTGCAGCTGGTGGCTGTACAAGCTATAGATGTGAGCAAGAAGTTATTTAGCCATAGACAGAATAAGCAAACTCCACAGGCGAGAGTACAGAAGGTTGTTGCTTGTGAAAATTATGTTTACAGCATGTCAACTGCTTTTGTGCTGGAAGGTGCAGTCCCCTGGAGTCTCTGTCTGCTCCTGGTAACTCATGATGCCCTTCTAGAACATTGGGATTTCTGACGCCTGTGGAGGGAGGTTTATCAGGAGATGGGGTTGGGTTTATCAGGAGGGGGAGAAGAGGCCACTAGCATCCTGTTCTGCATTCTCCGGCACCAATTTAGTCTTTGCTGTTTTTTTTAATGTCCCTTTGCTGAGCAGATGCAGAGACATCTGTGTTTTTGACTTTCTACTCTCATGTTTTTAGTGCCTCCTTAAGGTAGTATCGTTGATATGATGCAATCTCTACTCCCTATTGCATTAAAAGTCAAAAGAAGCAAACAGCCCTTCAGGCAATTCTTATCAGGTGATAGGGGCAGCTGACAGTGATGTGAGAGAAAATAATAAAACAGAGAAGAGTAATCTGTGTGTGTGTGTGAAGAGGAAGGCTAGGATGATTGAGTGATTGTTTAAAATCTCATTGCAGGCTTAGTTGAGGACAGATTAGTGGAATTGACAGTAAATAGACTTTGAGGTCTCCCAGAGTTCCCTAGGAGGTCCGAGAGCACACATTCTCCCTATGATGGCATGAATCTGAGCAGCTGCTCAGCAAGAAAGCTTTGGGTTAGTGTTCATAGAAGTATTTAGGGTTTGGAGGCAACTGGCATTGTTTTTGCAGTGTGCTAGCAGAAAAAGACATTGGGTCAGTGTTTCTAGTCGTAATGTAAACAAAGCTGATATAGGTAAACACTCCTGAAGTAGCTCACTGTACTGTGATAAACGTGACTTTAAAGTAACATTCACCAGCTATGTATTCTTTGACCTTTTTTTTTTTCCTCAGCTGTTTAGCAAGTCGCTATCCAGTTACTATAATTTACTCTGCAAAGTATTTTATTCAATTCTGGTTCCTAAAATGAAATTGTAATGACAGCTTACAATTTCATGAAATGGTAGACTGACTTGTCATAATGGTAATTTGTGATCCCTTAAAACAATATGTGGTAAGATGATTTTATACGTATTTCAACTTTTCCTACAAGGCAGTTCTCAGCCTTGAATGGTAATGGAAATTACTTTATATGTCTGTTATAAATATAGTTTTACTTAGAGAGGTATGGCTGGATATGATTATATGGAGAAGACTCAGTGAAAGAAGGGAGGGATTGTATCATTTGGCTTAGGTAAACTAAAAAAATGTGTGCGGTATCCAAAGACAGTGACACCGCTGGTCAAGATGTCAGTGGTAAACTTGACTGTGACTTGGGGTCCTCAGCCCATGTATTTTTCAGAGCAACAGTGATTTTGATCAGCCTGGTTGGAGATAGGATACTGGCTAGATGAACTTGTGGTCTGATCCATTATTGATTCTCTTATGTTTTTCTAATTGCTTAAGACTTGCATTGATTTGTTTTTTTGGATATGGTTGCAGTTTTGATTGATTGTCAGTCATACTGATTGCCGCCAGAAGTTGTTGTGGCTTTTTTTTTTTTGTGTGTGTGATGCTAAATGAAGGTGAAACATATAATTAGATGTAGGGTTATGAATAGAAACCGTCATTTTTCAGGACTGCATATTGTCATAGAAAATATTTGGAATAAGTAGGCTACTCATAGTCCTCGGCTTTATTAGAATGCTTGTATAACTGAGATCTGCAATATTGCACTCACTCCTGTGCCAGCATCTGACTAGCCATAATAAATGCTCCTGAAAGACAGGTAATTTTAAGTAAGAGCTGCTCATTGCACAAGAGCTTCATTAATTGTCAGTCTGGGACCTCAAGAAAAAGAAACTATAATTATATATATCAGCATCTGGATTTAAAAACAAAAGTTAAAGCAAATATCTGGCTCATTTTATCTTCTAACATACAGGGTAAACTGCAAAAGCTTTCATGTCTAGAGACTGTTTCCTTCTCTTTTGTTATATTTCTGAAACAAAGTGGGTAATTACTGTGATTTAATTAATGAACATAAATGCAGTAGAGTGGTTTCTAAGTATACATTGTAAATTGTATGTGTTTTGTATCTTAAACTTACCTGGAGATTGTGAATCCAGCATTATGTCTGATTTTCCCATTAGTTCTAGAAAGAACAAATTATGCAGCCTGGATTTTAATTCAGTTTAGGGTGTGGATATTGGCCTCAGCTGTATTCATTGGACAAAAGAAAAATAAAATTAAGAGGATAATTTAGAATGTGATTACTCAAAAGCAAAATCATACTAATGGAGCATATGAGTGTCTGTATGTCTAAAAGCTGGTCTCAGTACTTTTGCAGTTCCACAGTAAGAGAGGAGTTGTCAAAGGCCTCTGTCGTCCTTCAGGTATCTCTGTGTTATTTGTTAAGTCTGAATATGCTAATTAAGCTGTGCCTGCTTTTTTCTTTTAAAAGTGTGGTGGAAATCCCAAGAATTCAGGCTGTGGGTATATACTTTCCTTCCAGACTAAATTTGTTTTTCCTTTCCCTCACTTTGCTCCGTTGCAACTGTGACAAGAAGTGAGCCACAGGCATGATTTCCATTTTTCAT